GGAATGTCCTTTAGCTCACAGAATATTACAGTACTGTTACTTTTACTTCTAATAATAATTTACATAATCTTTATATTCCTGCCTTCTCATAAATTGCAGTTCATTATGGATATGTACATAAGTTACACTTATTAAAATATAACATCTGTCCATGAGCCAGAATTTGGATAAAACTTCTCTTCCTTTGCAGGACTTAAGGAGAGTAAACGGATGCCTCTGGCAGATTCTGTCTTGCTGTCAGAGATCATGGCTGAAATCAGGAAACAAGTGGGAGTTGTCTTTAACCAAGACAGCCAGTGAAGCCACTGTCAAGCAGAGCTGTTTCAGACCAAATCCTACTAAGATGTAACAGAAGAAGCAGTGGGATGTACTAGGAAGTTCAACATAGCCAGGTTTATTTTGCAATGGGTGGTTTGACAAAACCTAAAATCTAAAACCCAGAGAAAATGCATATCACAACAGTGTTTAACAGCTTTCTCTGCTAAGCTAAGCTTTCTGCTTCACATTCACATGAAAAGGACAGGTTTAGCAACACATGACTTTTTTCTATATGAAATTATCCCTATAACTGATTCCTTCTCTATCTTCTGCCGGGTACCAGGCAGGGGTGTTATGACAGCTTCCTACCCCATTTTCAAGTACATTTTGTGACAAAGGCACACTCAAACTCGACACTCTCTCTCTTTATCTTTCTCACACTCACACACTCCACAAGAAGGTTGTTGATTTATGTACCTGTGCATTTTTTAATGTTTGTGTTCCAGGTTTTGTATATTTGTTTTTCTTACAGGTGCGGCAGTTGGCAATACGTTGTGCATTTGTACTCTATCGTTATTATTACATGTTTGGCACAACAGTGCCTACAGATCATAATTCTGATTGCAAAAGCTGCCAGGCAGGACAGGATTTTTTTTTTTTTTAATGAGCATGATTCTTTCATTAGTGTCACTTCATGGGCTCAGAAACTTTTCTGAATCACTTTATGTAAACACAGTTTGCTGCTCTATAAGCTCTATCAGGTAAAGAAGCCATATGATCCAGAAATAGAAGAAGAAATGCTGACATTTTCCTTTGGCTAAGTTCATTAAAATGGACTGAAGCAAAGTGCAAAACTGCTCTATGGTCAGATTAATAGAATTTCAAAATTATTATTACAAAACATGAACATCATATCCTTCAGACTAGAGAAGGGAGGTAACATCCAGCTTGTTATCGTATCATATGGTTTTTCTTCTGTGTTCTATTGTGAATAAAATTTGACAACTTCCTTTCTGTAAATAGAATCAATCAAGATGAAATATCTATCTGTCTGTCTGTCTGTCTGTCTGTCTGTCTGTCTGTCTGTCTGTCTGTCTGTCTGTCTGTCTGTCTGTCTGTCTGTCTATGTAACCTAATTGCAAGGTTTTTTAGGGGATTTTTGTTGTAAGATATGACTTAAAAGTTGCTCATTAAAATGATCTTTCAACAATAGAGAATCTATATTGCATTTAAAATGTATTATAAATAAAATAATCAGAGAAAAAATGGTTCTTCCAGATGATTTTAAACTGAATTTACAAACACAAATTAATACATTATACATAGCTGACCGGTCGGGCTGAGTTTTAAGTTCAACCTAATATATTGTTACCCCATTAATCTTGCTTCATAGTCCACCCCTCTGCGTGAGGCAATTGAAACGAGCAGATCTATCAGAGCACCACATGACAAAGTATTGGAACAGTGACTATGATTAACCACCAATTTAAAGAGTCAGCAAATTTTTGGAACATGTAAATTTTGGTTGCATTATTAGGGAGTTTGATCTTTATAGTCTTTTTAGCTTCATGATAGAGCCATGACAGAGCAAATTATAATTATCATACCCCAGAGCTACCATTTAAATACAGCAAACTTCTTGAAAAACATTGACAATGTTTTTATTACACAGAAGAAAAAGATTTAAATCAAACAAATCGCAGTGTAAACA